ATTTTTTTCTTAAAAAAATATCGCAGTTAATACTCGTACGCACGCCACTGTTAAAGCTAAAACTTATTTTTGCATTGAAAAATATGCAGCTTCATTAACCCCGAGTTTTTCTAAGGAAACATTTTTGAACCATAGTATATATATCAAATTAACATTAATTTTTCATGTAGATTCACACCCTTAAATATTCGCATATCATTAAGGAACACCCTGTATGCTGATTTTACAAAAACGTTTGACAAAATTGACCATCAACTACTTATACAAGAAATGGGATTCAGCAAAACATACGTGGATCTTCTCAAGTCTTATCCAGACTTGAGAACTCAATATTTGGTTCCTACAAATACATATCAAGCAGCGGTGTACCTCAGGGCACCAATTTGGGTCCCTTATTGTTTGCGTTATACGTCAACGATCTTTGCAGTTCATCAATAACAATGTGTATTTGAACAGTTCTAAATGCTGCATTTTAACCTTCACCCGGAAATTCTAGTTTTTAACTTACCCATACAAAATAAATGATTCTCAATTGGACATTTCAATATCACAACGTTCATTAAGTCATTTTCAGTGCTTGTTGTAATCAAATTAGAATACGGTGCAATTAATTGGAGCCCTACCTATGAACTCTACAAAAATAGTGCAAACGAGATTTCTAAAATATCTATGCTATACACTTCTCATTATTATTGGATAGATTTGGTGTCCCTTTTTTGGACAACCGTAGAGAGTAGGCGTCGATCATATTTTCATACAAATTACTGTAACATCGACTGTCCTGCTTTGTTATCGCAAATTTTCCTGCTAAATGGATTGACATCCAAATAAAAAGTTTTTTTTTCGTGAATCGGATTGGGAGTTTTTGTGATATCTTCTGTTGTGGATTTCAGAAATCAACACCATAAACTATCTCTCTGCCAAATTTCATGTTCATATGTCAAATAGTGATGGAGATAATTTTTTATAGACTTGAAAAGAGATAAGGTGCCTCATAGAAACATTGAACCCCCTCTTACCATAAAATTGAAGACAAAACCTACTCCGACGTTTAGGCTGACTTAATTGAAAATATTCTAAATTCTCTACAAAACTTGAAAAATGTGTATTCCCACTTTACCCTCTTAGGGGTGGAATTGCCGTGTAAGTACACATTTACACTTTATCAAAGAACTGAGTATATGGAACCAATATTTGTATATCTAGGTTTGAATAATAATTGCGACCCCATAGAAGCTTTAACCCCTTATTCCAACCCCCTTCAAGTTTAATTTTCACAACAAAAGGTAGACTAGGTTCGTCTCCAAGGCGTAATCTATATATGTATATGGCAGGATTCATCAAAATCATACAAACATACATTCACACTTTCACATTCATAATATTATTACAGTAGGGATTTGATCACAATTTGGTTGTGCCACATAGGTTCAAACTTAGATAAAAGTCAGTAGCAATGTGGCAAAAGTGTGTAGTCGTGTGTCCTGTATTAGGAAGGGAGCGGGCTCATGCGGATGTGGACGGCTAGACATCCCCCTAATGCTCCCCTTACAGGGGTGTACCCGGGCGTTTTATGTATACCCAGTGACAAAGAAAATATAACACCCAGTATAAATGATTGGCGTTCAATAAAGCTTCATACGCAGTTAGACTGTAGAGAACTGACAAGCCGACATCGAATCTAGAAACAATTACATGGTGGCCGATATGCAACTGACTGGACTGACTAGGAATTATGTATGAAAAATAATGTCGGACAAATTTCCGCCTCTAGAAACCGCGCAAACCTGAGCGCTCTTGATTACGTTTTCCATCACTTTTTGGCAGGTTTCGGGAGGAATATTTACAATCGCTACCGTAATTTTTTGTTATTTTTGTTTTGTTATTGTTCTTCAACTGCTCTACAGTATTTGGTTTATCGGCATAAACCCTATTTTTCAAAAATCCCATAAAAAAGTCAGGAGCCGTCAAATCCGGTGACCTTGGTGGCCAGTTGACATCACCAAATCGAGAAATTAAACGTCCCGGAAATATTTTTCCCAAAAAATTCATTGTTTCCCTGCTGTGTGACAAGTTGCTCCGTCCTGCTGGAACCACATGTTTTACAGGTTGAATTATTGGATTTGAGAAGCCAGAAAGTTTTGCACAATATCACGGTAGCGTTCCCAAGTGATAGTATGAGAATTACCTGCTGCGTCTTCAAAGAAATAAGTTCCAATGTCACCTCCATACCAAACACCGCACCAAACTGTGACTCGACGAGGATCTAGTGGTAATTGATGGAAGACACCATGGTTCTCTAATGCCCCGATATCGCTATTTTTTGTATTAAGCTGCAATATTGCATGACTGTATTGTCGGCGACTTTCATCTTAGTATAAGTATACTCTCTTAACCTATTTGCCATATTTCACATCTCATAGATTTACAAGTGCATTTGTCTTTAAAACAGAATGCTAGAGAAATGTTTTCGAATTGCTTACTCCCCTACTGATGCGCAAAAAACATATATACGGACCTTGCACGAAACGAGATGCTGTACAGATTTCTAAAGGGTCAACGTTGCCACATAGACAGTAACCACCAGTAGGGCAGGGAAATAATGTCTGTGGAGTAATTGTATGGGTCCGTTTGACTAACTTAACACTTGGCGCTTCTTTCTGATGTTAGTACATTTATACACTCCCAACCTTAGTAATTCTGCGTACCTATTAGACATCACACATCTTAGATTAGCTCTTAAACCTCGGCTTACCTACCGGCTGCAGCTGCTGCTCCCGGCGTCGTGCCGCCGGCCTTGGTGTGTTCTGTTATTCTGGTTATTCCGGTGTGGTATCCAACGTATTTCTGCCGCGCCACAGCATAGTGTTTCCTATGCTCTGACTGTGCTGCCACGTGTGAAGTATCAGGAAGAGGCGACGTTTCCAGCTGTACTACTGGTAATGTAGGAAAGAATGTATATGAACTAGTTGTATGGACCTGTTTGGCTGACTTTTCCCTCAGTAGGGTCTAGTTTGTGCTGAACATAATCCTTTACGAACTGATAACGGCGTTGCGTGGGAAGTGCAGAGTCAACCTACTTGATGCCATTTTTTTTTATCTCATATACCAATAAATAAATAAAGATTCACAGCGACCCTATTTCTGAATCCACCCCTGTATCCTCGTCGAAAGCAGCGGCAACCCCTCATCCGACGTCCCCAGGCGACTTCCCGATCCCCAACCCCAACCCAATCCAACCCCATCCTAGCGCCAGTCACCCTGCCACCCACCCGCGTTGGGCTTGCTTTGCAGTAGGAAAGGGGAGGTAGGTGAGGGTGACTGTCAGGGGGTGGGAGGAATGGGGTGGTAGCTGCCGCGTACGGCATCGCCACCGGGAACGGCACAAGTGAGTTTGGAAATAGAAGACTAGATTGCTGATGACATTTGGGCTGTTCTTAGATAGAGGGAAGCTTCAGATAGAATGCGAAAAGCAGAATAGCACAAAATGAACATTGCGGTTCGAATTACACTGCTTGGCGCGATTCCGGTATCCGGAAACGTAATTGTTATTACTATTGATTAACGTATTCCACTTGAAGGTAGGCAATGTTGTCTTCTTTTGTTCGAGATGATGAACAGTACTGGTTATGGGACTATCTAAAGTACACATGCAAGCTTATAAGAAGGTCCCGCTTCGATCATTCGTCAGGGCTATCCAAATGCAACGAGTGCGTACGCTAGGAGTACTGGAGCTTACTCGTACCAGGAATTCACTCATCCAGGTGTCCTTTCGCGCCACTGGCGAATAAGTATTGTTGTCGCGAAAAATTTCAAAGATGATATACAGGGTGTAAACGTTATGGTAGTCATTATTGAAATGGGTAATAGGGGGAGTCAAAACAAGTCAAAAAGTTTATATGAACCATGGTCCAAAAGTCAATACATTTTTGTCTAAATGGCTTTATAGTTTACAACTTTAAGTGGTTTATATCGACCACAAACACCACAATCTTGGGTAATTAACAAATAAATGGCATTAAGTTTTTCTAAGTTAAGCCCAAATTTGTAGACAGTAACTAAGTAAGTTTCATAAAATTGAATACTTAAAACACACATGACAACAGCGCGTCGGTCATCATCAATCTTATCGAACCGGCAATCGATCGCAAACGGTAACAGTGGTTAGTATGTTGTTTTGTTTGTGTTCGCGAACGTCGTCGTCTTGATTTACAGAATTCAAATCTTGCAGCTCAAATTTATCGCGACAGATCTCGCCAACGGGTACACCCAGACAGAAGGACATTTGTGCAAGTGTATCAAAGACTTCGAGATACAGGAAGTGTTCAGCCCACTAATATTCGCACTCGTGAAAGAAAGGTTACTGTAGCAGGAGGAACACATTTTAAATATCGTGGAAATCAATGCAGATATCAGCACTCGGGAATTAGGCCGCCGCGTAGGACTATCGTCTATAGAATCCTGCGGGAAAATTTACTTAGTCGCTTTTCTCTTAAAAAGTGCCGTTTTGACCCCCATGTTATATGAAACTTTTTGCTTCTTTTAACGCCCTCTATCACCCATTTAAATAATGACTATCATAACGTTCACACCCTGAATTATGGTGACGTACATTATCATGTCACCCATTTTGGTCGGTCTGTTTGTCTGTCTGTCGGTCTGTTCAGATTTTGATAACACTTTTACACAGGGTTACTACAATGCTTTTTAACGTTTCAGGGCCCGTAATCAATTCCAGAAAAAAATGTCTGGAGGATCAACTGACAATCATAGGTAATTACGATTTGTAACTGACATATCACTTGTAACTGGAAATTATAGCTGATTACAACTTGTAACTGACAATTCCAGATAATTGGTCGCATACAATTGATAATTATAAAAAGAATATATTTTTTTTGCCATGTCCTCTGAGCCCTCCCGTAAATTCTCCTTTTCTTAGAGGAAGGTCTGTGGGCGACGCGGGGTTGATTGGCGGGGGTAGGCAGCCCCAGGCGGGCATTCGGGAAGCGGGTGCCGCAGTGTTGGGTGGGTCAGACCGTCAGACGTCCTAGGACGTCGCTGTTGCTTCCCTTGCACCTGCAGGAAAAATTCCCTTTTCCAGAAATGGTCAAACTATTCGCCAAATCGCCATGTTGCGCGGCATCGCGCTGTCTCACCAACAGGACGTAGGGTGCTATGGTAAGTAACATGCTCAGGCTTTCGCGTACCGAAACCCCCGAATCGAGTTGACCAGTGGTGGCGAAGCGGGGTGTTCTCGTGGGTGCGATCGATAATTCGCCGGTATAAAGTGTTTTGTGTAAATTGTGGATATTTCCAGTGCCACGCAAGTGTTGAGTGTCGCTTAAGTGTTAAGTTCCACTTAAGTGTTAAGGTTGAACACTTGAGGGTAATTTTAGCTTTGGTATTGAACAAATGATCAAAGTTCCTATTAATTAAAAAAATTAGGTAATTTTTATTTTAAAATATGTAGCTCAAGTACCACATTATTTGGTAAAGCATAGAAAAACTAAAGCATTCATATTATTATCTTATGTGTGAGGCAGGATTCATTTTACATACATTTTCGGTCATTGTGAGAAAGGTATTTTTTTATTTATCAAATCTTGACGACATTCATATGTATCAAGATTTTTTAAAATTTTCAGGTTATATCCCTCACCATTTTATAGTGAAAACGTCTAACAGTTTTTGTGTAAATACACATAATAAAAATAAATCTGGCAACTATGTTAGTGATTGCAGGTAGCGTGGAACACATACATAGTTCAAATAAAAAGCTTTGGAGCACCAGTTTTGAAAAATTGCAAACCTCTTTCAGGGATTTGGGCAGTGGTTGCCAACCTTTCCAGTGTGTTGAGCTACTAAACAGTGAGCTACCTAGTCGTAAGCAATGTAAGCCAACTTAAATGAAATTATACACAGTTGTGTGAGACGTACATGTGTTTATTTTACTAATACTTATTCATACTAATAAACTTAAACTAATAACTAATACATACTACCTACATCCATTCCTACCAATCATAGGTGTTTGAAAAATAAACAAAATTTTTCGTTAGCTGCAATGGCATGTCACATACGATTTAATAAAGGTAACTAAAAATAAAAAAAGCAACATACTATTTTAAACAAAAACATGTTCAGATACAGATGCGTGTTCAATGAGAAGCCTGACACTCAAACTCACTTTTTTTTGATGTTTGGAGTATAATCTGATACCGCCATTGGAATACAATTATCCAAATATTCATCTGTAAGTCGATGACGGTATTTGTTTTTAATAAACTTAATATTTGTAAAAGAAGATTCACACAAATAGGTTGACCTAAATAACGCTTTCACTTTCAAAGCAACACGGAAGAAGTAGTGGCAAGGGGGAAAGAAGTAGTTTCCCGTATTGACTGTCAATTTCATCGACCAAGGTTTTGAATAATCTTTGTAACGCTTGAGCTCTAATCTTGTTCACAATTTGTACTACTAATTTCATAACGTTGTTTAGTTTCAGAAAATGTCCACATAATGCTTGCTGATAGATAATGATGATATTACTTGATAACTTTTGTAATATAAATACGAGTAGGTGAAAAATCCACAACCGAAAAACTGTGGGAAGTTACAGAGAAAAGAATAAATACTGAACAAAATATTTAGTTTATCGTACAACAAATAAAAGAGCGATACAAATGTAAATTCAAATAAAAGAAACATTTTTTCGTCAGCTGGTATACAAAAAAACTTGTGAATTAGCTTTTCATTCGCTAATCCCGAGTTTAGAGCTTAATGTATGCAAGCCTTTAAAATATATAATAAATGAATGTTTTCGTACAGGAGTATTTCCCGATATTTTAAAGTTAGCCACAATAACACCTATCTACAAAAAAGGTAGCAAACTTGATATAGAAAATTATAGACCAATATCCCTGATTTCGAGTATCGCCAAAGTTGTAGAAAAAATAATCAAGTCAAGGTTACTAAAGTTTTTCAATAGGTATAACGTGTTACATAAAAATCAATTTGGATTTAAAGAAGGCATATCAACGCAAGATGCAATAGCTACACTATCCAAAAAACTGTACAGACTAGTTAACGATAAGATCCCTGCCATTTGCATATTTATAGACTTAACCAAAGCTTTCGACACCATTAGTCATGACAAGCTGTTGGAAATACTCGAGCTTAGCGGTATAAGGGGAACTACTTTAGACTTAATGTCGAGCTACCTAAATATCAGAAAGCAGTGTGTCAAAATAGATAACGTGACCAGTCATTATAAAGACGTATGCTATGGGATCCCACAAGGAACTGTTCTTGGGCCAATATTATTTAATATATTAATGATTTGTTCTCAATGGATTCGGGAGGTACAGTGTTAGGATTCGCGGACGATACTGTCATAATTTATGAAGACTCAAGTTGGCCCGCACTTCTATCCATATGCCACAATATAACGAAATAAATGTCAGAATAGGAAACTATACGACAACCATTAAACGTCAAAGCAGCACTAAATATCTGGGAATATATATTGATCAAAATCTCAGATGGGATGTTCAAATCGAATATGTGACAAAGAAAATAAGATGCCTCATTCCAAAATTCAAATGTCTTAGAAACATCCTTAATACAGATTGCATGAGAATCTTATACTTCGCACTTGTGCAGTCACATCTTTGCTATGGAATACTTGGCTGGGGAGGAGCTGGCTTCACTTACATAAAGGACTTGGAGATTGCCCAAAAATATTTATTAAAAATTCTTTATAGCAAGAGCAAAACTCATCCATCTGATGAGCTATACCATGAGTCTGGAATTATGGACATTAGGCAAACCTTTATTTATAATTGCATGGTATACTACTTTAAAAATAAATCATTTCATGAGGAAATCGCTCACAAATATGACACTCGCCAGAAAGTTGCTAGGCACATAATGGTACCTAGGCCGGAAAAGTCATTATTGCAACGCTCCTGGATTTATCTCTGCCCCAAATTGTACAACGAAATGCCTGCTGATCATAAGTTAATACGAAACATTGCTTTATTCAAGAAAAAAATCTCAGTCTGGGTGAAAGGTATATCCAGGAGCATAATACATGATTATATAGAAGGCAAAACACTATATATGTCACTCTGACAACCCAAATGAAGTCACCGTTTTTAGAATAATTGCTCCATTCTATTAATTTATTATTTTATCATATTTTATTGTACGTTATTATATTTTATTAGATTTTATTATGTTTTATTGTAGTCACTTATATGCTTATACCGTATCTCATGTATGATGGGCATTTAATTTTATTCTATTCTATGCTTGATATATCCTTGTCTTTATTGCTCACAACACAAATGCTACTACCAGTTTTGTAATGTCATTTTAGTTTTTATTGTCCTTTATCTTAGATGTACTCTTTTTTAGTTTAGCCTTTTGATTTATGTTATTTATTATTGAATTTAGTTAAAGTGCCACAATGTCAGTTCAAGGTTTTCGCATTTCTACCAGTGATCGTGTAACACCAAATTATGTCAGTGCGTGCGTAAGAAGTGCATAGTGCATTAGCAAGTACTTGATAGACTTTATTTATATCTGCGGATAGACAACTGACAATAATGGGATGGCCACACACAAGATTTTTCTTTCGTGGCATTACTTTTATTTGTCATTGATACTCCTTTGTGGCAACAGTCTTTGAAAATTTAAATTTGCATAATTGAATTTGACAAATAAATTATTATTATTATTATTATTATTATGTGTTGCGGGGTTCCATAATGGTCAGTGCAGATCTAGAAAATTCCCTTTTAATAGATGCCGATGTTGCAGGTGTCGATACAAAATGTCTTGCCATTAAAACTGGGCTTGGGAATAGATTTTCTTGATTTTTCCACGACTAGTGACTATTTGCATTAAAATGCAAGATACGATTCACCGGTTGTACAAATAAATATTACTAAAGGCCTTTAGTAGGATAAAAGTATAATTTTCCATCAAGTATCAGGTAGATTCAAAGTGAAGTCAAGTAGAACAATAATAAAATCAAGTCAAGCCAAGCATTAATTTGGTTCTGTTACTATCTCATAGATGGCGCTTTAAATTCTTTTCTTCTAATCCCTATTTTAATCGGGTACGTTAATCAATATTTGAAGATATCCAACTAAAATATCCAAGCAGCACACATAACATACATCCATTGAATGTCTATTGGATATCCATGGTGGATATCTAGGATATCCATTGGATTTACAGACACATCCAATGAATAATCAGTCGATATTCACATGTCCGTCTATTTCCAAAAATCTGGATATATGCTCATATGTATGTGGATATGGATATCCTATCTTGATCTAATGGATGTTATGGATATCCACTGAATGATCGTTAAGAACCCAGTGACTCCAGATGATCACGCCATAGGCAACCGAACCTGCTACGTCCAATTTCGTATTGAACAAGGATAACTGAAAACCTAACGAAACAAATTAATTATTTTTGTGATGAAGATGATACAGAACTCAAAACATACAATGATGACATTTATCAGCAATAAAATAATAAAGCAATACATGCGTCTCCCAGGTCATATGTGCAACAATATGTACTCCTAGGGAACTGATAACCATAGACTGTGTTTTATTATAATTGAGGGTTAGTTTATTTGACGTAAATCAGGTTTTCAATTTACTTGTCATACTTTGATCTGTCGGGTAAATCATTGCTATATATCAAGAAAAGAATCGAGCTAAGAATTGAGCCCTGTGGGACTCCAGTCTTTGAAAAGACTGAACTGTGAAAATATACAAATTGATATCTATTGCACAAATATGATGAGAGGAGCTCTATGCTAGTATTATCGAAATTATAGTATGAAAGTTTTTCTAACAGAATTTGATATTGAACACAGTCAAATGCTTTTGTGAGATGAAAAAATCTCACCAGACAATATAAACCAATTTTCAAGACGGAATTAATGTAATCAACAAAAACATTAATAGCTGATGTTGATCTATGACATCTGAAGCCAAATTGACAATTAGTAAATAAATCATTTGACTCCAACAATTTTTTTCATTTATTTGGTCTTTTACCAGCATCTCAGAGATCTTGGCAATAACTAGTACCAGGGAGATTGGTCTGTTTTACGTTGATGTCAAAAATGTGTATGTCACATGATATGTATTTATGTAAAGTTAAGGTCCACTACTACTACTTCTTACGTCTTTTCATCATGAGCCGCTGCAGCTGCTAATTTCTTCTCATCACAAATCAAACTTACTATCGAGTGATGTTTTTGGAGGTTATGCTCCTGCAAAACCCTTTTATACTCAATAGACACTAAACAGGTGCGCTGGGGTAACTAATTATCGCGAAACTTACCTATTTTCCACAAAAAAACACTGTCCAATAATGATTTACTGCTTGGAGGCATGCACGAGATGCACGCTGTGTCAAACATACGTCATACACACAGACATAGAATTAAACAAAATGGAAGCCGACAAGCGGGTCGGATTGCCACGATGCCATTGGTCACTCGGGCAAACGCACATGCACGATGGGCCGAAAAATTGCTCAAACTTCGTTTTTTGACGTTCTGGTTGAAAATTGGTGGTTAAGGGCTGCAGGGGGTGGGGTTCGGGTATATCTCAATTTCTTGTCGTTGATATATTTATACGCCTCCAATCGCAATAATTCTAAATATTAGGCATATTTCACTCATCACAGATGTGACCGTACATTAACTCTTAAAACTTAAAAGTCAATATCATCATCCTCACGAGATTAGTCATAACAACGACCATGTGCGCCCGCGAATTTCTCTCAGGAGGAAGTGGAAGGTCATTAATCTAACTTGTGTTCAATCAACGTTACTGTTTATTACAAACAAACCCTTTTTTCAGGTTTGAATGATGTCTAAGTAAGGAACAATAATGGAAATCGCCATGTCAATGACTGGAAGTGCAATAGACTGTTACGAAGACATGTTCAAAGAAATAACAAAAAAGCTGTACGGCGAAGATGGCCTACCGGATATAAGTAATAACGAAAAAGCTGGTTGTACAACTCAGCAACGCATAGTAGCGATGGAGTACGAGTCAGAATCAGAAAACCCCATCCTGAAACCAGACGAGCACCTCACAGCCTTCGGACTAGCCGCGCTCATGCAAAACGGCTTTCCAACAGGAGGAATCCTGAACACAGGATTCCAGTGTCATAAAAGCAGTCCTGGAATTCTCCTAGGTTCGGTCTTAGAAGATAAATGGATTAGCAGTGAGGACAACCTTCCTTGGACGCAATCAAAAATCGCCATGTACAATCCCAGCCAAAAGCTCTTCAGATGTTCTGAGTGTGACTGTGTCGGATATCTTCTAAGGGTCGCAGAACACTGGTTGGGAACTCACTCCAACTTGAGGGCTTTTCATTGCCCTCAATGTCACTACGAGAGTGCCTGGGCAAGGTGCGTCAGGATTCATCTCCATCGGCAACATAACATCAACACCGATGATTCTTGTGATAGTTTGATAAAAGATAACCCAGTACTCCAAGAGGTGATGAAACATTTGCAAAAGTTAAAGAATAAAGTGGAAGGCAATAAGTCAAATAGCACAAACGATTCTTATTCTCAGAATCAACCCAACGTGAATAATACGTCCAATTCAAATGTCACCCAGTCACCAACGAATTCAGATCTTTCCAATATAACCAGCAAAAGATATCGTTGCACCTATTGCCCTTATGCGACAGATAGAAGGGATCTATTCACAAGACACGAAAACATTCACAGGGAAGAAAAGCCCTTCCAATGTTATGTATGTCAAAAGCAGTTCAACAGAGCAGATCACGTTAAGAAACATTTCCTCAGGATGCATAGAGATGATCCCTATGATCTCAACAGGATTAGAAGGCACCCCCCAAAGAATGCTTCAGGGATGTCGTACTATCAGAAGTACCACACTGGTCCTGCTGTTGGAAATTCGAATGACCTGGCAACCCTAGGAGCACTGTCCATTCCAGGTATTTATTATCTATAATAATAATATTAACAAAAATGTCACTCGTTGATCGGCTGTTCACTTCAGTATATCTCAAAACGTAATGGATACTCGTGAAATACGGTATAAGCGGGAATATCATAACATGTACATTTGTCCTTTGATTTCTCGTAACCTGTTGACTGTACGCCAAATTTTTATACAGGGTGTAAACGTTATGGTAGTCATTATTGAAATGGGTAATAGAGGGGTCAAAACAAGTCAAAAAGTTCATATGACCCATGGTCCAAAAGTCAATAGATTTTTATCTAAATGGCTTTATAGTTTACAACTTTAAGTGCCTTATATCGACCACAATCTTACTAATTTTTATAATTTAATCTAAAACGTTTTTAAATTGGGTAAGTTTCTTTAAATTAAATATTTAAAACACACATGACAACAGCGCGTCGGCCTTTCATCACTCTTATCGAACCGGCAGTCGATCGCAAACAGTAACAGTAGTTAGTTATCGGGCATCTGGCGTGTTTTTTTTTCGCGTACGTCGCCGTGTTTATTTACAATGTTCTCGAATCAAGAGTTCGCCGACATGTTGTTAGTTTACGGTGAAGCTCATCAGAATTCAAATCTTGCAGCTCAAATTTATCGCGACAGATTTCGCCAACGGGTACACCCAGACAGAAGGACATTTGTGCAAATGTACCAAATACTTCGAGATACAGGAAGTGGTCAGCCCAGTAATATTCGCACTCGTGAAAGCCAGGTTACTGTAGAGCAGGAGGAACAAATTTTAAATATCGTGGAAATCAATGCATATATCAGCACTCGGGAATTAGGCCGCCGCGTAGGACTATCGTATACCATAATTAATAGAATCCTACGGGAAAATTTGCTTTATCCCTACCATGTACAACGAGTGCAAGCCTTGTTACCAGAAGACTATCCTCGCAGACTAACATTCTGTCAGTGGTTTTTGCACAAAAACAATGAAAATCCGGATTTTTTTAAAAACATTCTAGTGACGGACGAATGTACTTTTACGCGGGTTAGAATATTAAATTTCCATAATACTCATACACCCATTTAAATAATGACTATCATAACGTTTACACCCTGTAGATGCAAAATGATAAAGAATTTGATTCACTACAAAATGTCTGCTTTTATTTTTCTAACTAGGATAGATGGTTCTCGATTAAACGCGTTTATCAAAATGACGCCAATTTGAGCTTATCATGAGGAAGCAATGATCTAACGATACAACAAAAAAATACTGTTGCAAAAATTGTAAGATTTCCTTTACAAAATCCCTCTATTCATTGGTCTTGATATGGTGGTTGAAATGAGTGATTCAATTGTTTTTATTGTTCCAGGGCTGCCCCGGAGCTTACCACCGAACGCAAGAATGCAACAGGATATGAAATCCATAGCAAAATCATCTAGCAGTAGTTTGAGCAACGGTCTCGGCAAAAGCAGCAAAAAGAAAGGTGAAAAAAGGTTCTCTTGCTGCTATTGCTCATGGTCAGGAGTAGACAACTGGTGCCTTAAAAGACATATGAACACCCATCTGAAACCGTTCGTATGTGCTTTATGTGACTACAAGGCAGCAAGATCTGAGAGACTTGCCACTCATGTACTGAAGGTTCACAACAAGAGGTCATGCGGAAAATGCAACTTCCTTGCTGATGACCTCACTCAACTGTCAATCCACCAACTGGAACAACAGTAAGTGACTTGCTAAAGTTATTTATTCCACTTCCCACGCATATTGGTGAAGCAAGTATTGTAATCGCAAAAATGTTCACTCTGCGGGTATGTCTGTTTTTGATCTGTCTGTCAATCTGTCTGTCGATCGGTCTGTCGGTCTTTCTGTCTGTCGGTCTGTCTCTAGAGCTGTCTGTCAGTCGGACTGTTTGTCTCTCGGACTGTCTGTCTGTCGGTCGTTCTGTCTGTCCGTCTGTATGACGCTCTGTCTGTCGTTCTGTTTGTTGGTCGATGTATCTGTCGGTTTGTGTTAAAGTTTTTTCCACGTATATAAGATAACTAAGCGATCTCACCACAAACGGCACTTAAGGAAACCTACTGCTGGTCAGGGTGAATGTCAGTCAAGGTCAGTTTCAGATGAAATTTCGAAAAAGCCATGCAGCATTATGTAAGTTTACGAAGTAAGTAATCCGGTGTATGGCACTGAACTATCGTGCTAGTAGGCTTTGGAGTCGCTCTCACTGTTCGTATCAGGTAATTTGAAGGGGTTTCGAGGTCATTGGAAGGTCAAATAGGGAAAATGCCAGGAAATCAAATTTACTAGACGTGTACGCAGGTTTTTGGGGGAGTCCGAATATAAGGTCAATGTGTCCGTATCTGATCATTTAAAGGTACTTTCGAGGTCATAGCAAAGACAATGCTATGTTCTTAATGTGTCGAGTCTGCCTAAGGAGGTTTTTTCCCAGGTTAGTAACGTTAGTCAGCTCAAAAATCGGATTACATGATCCTGTGCTCCTTATAGTAGCCGCGCTGCCTCGGTATTTAGTATAAAAAATAAACAAAAGATATCCACATGAGTATTCAAAATTAAACCAGTAAGAAATGAATAATTTTTCAACATCACCTGTACCTGTTGATAAACGCATTCTAGCTGAAAATAGTCAACCGTATACTGTATTTTGGAGCCCAAAAAGAGATCTGACAGACACATTGGCGAGGCACAAAAATTAATTTAGGCGTTTGGTTCTGTTGGGTGGTACTAGGATCTTCAACCTCTTTTTGGTGCCTATTTGATGCCTATTTTAATTGGATATCCTTTGGTGGAATATTTTATTCAACTCCTAACAATAATGGTTTGACAATGAATTTATCAGATAATACTCAAAATACCTATTCTTTTCAGTCCATTGGAACAAAGAAGTCGGCCATCAAACTCAAATAACGTGTTAAGAACCAACAGTTTCAATGGAGGTAGCACTATCAGTTCTGCGCCGACATCTGGATATCCACCAAGCTCTAGTTTGACTGCTTGTAGGTAAGTTTTTACTTTGTGTGCAAAAGACTTCAAGTCGAATTCTTTTTTTTGTCCACTCTTATTGCATCTTGTCATGAAAATACGAGTACTATGGATATTCAGTAGTACATGTGACATTTGTGAGTTATGCTCAAAGGTCGAAAACGCTCATTGAACGAAATCAAAAATGGCGTCAAGTAGGTTGACTCTGCACTTCCTATGCAACGCCGCCATAATGGATTAAGTTCCACGGAAGTTGAACCCACTGAGAAAAAAATTAGTTACGTACATGTACAAAAGAAAAATTGAACCGATCAAGTCAGGCAAACAGGCCCATACAATTAGTCCGTAGACATCTTTTGCCAGCCCTGTCGGTCGTTACCGCTCATCTGACAACGCCAAGAGCGTATAAAGATACCAATATCCAAAAATTGCCACGACCTTGACCTTACATTTCTTGCTTGTTCCAATTCCAAAACAAAAATGTGGGGTGTCATTTGAAAATTCTGACTAAACCTTGATGGTCATGGTCAAGGTTATGGCCATGATCAAGACAATGTCATGACCAAGGTCACGGTCAAAGTTATGGTCATTGCTAGGAGATGCTCTTTGCCATGTCGCTAAAAGATGCGTATAATTACAAAGGCTGAGATCGTATAAATATACCAACATCGAAAAATTGACACGACCTTGACTTTGCATTTATTGCTTGTTCCAATTCCAGGATAAAAATGTGGGGTTTCATTTGAAAACTTTAACTAAACCTTGAAGGTAATGGTCAAGGTTATGGTCATGATCAAGGTCAGTGTCATGGCCAAGGTCAAGGTCAAAGTTATGGTCATAGTCAATCTCACCTTTGGGAACTGCACAAACCTCACAACTGTGCCGTCGAACATCGGTAGGAGATGCTCCTTGCCATATCGCTAAAAGGTGCGTATAAGTACAAAGGCTGACAGCGTATAAATATACCAACATCGGAAAATTGACATGACCTTGACTTTACATTTCTTGTTTGTTCCAATTCCGGGAAAAAAATGTGGGGTTTCACTTGAAAATTTTAACTAAACCTTGAAGGTCAAGGTTATGGTCATGATCAAGGTCCATGTCATGGCCAAGGTCAAGGTCAAAGTTATGGCCATAGTCAAGCTCACCTTTGGTAGAGATGCTCCTTGCCATATCGCTTAAAGGTGCGTATAATTACAAAGGCGAAGAGCGTATAAATATACCAATATCGAAAAATTGACATGACCCTGACTTTACACTTCTTGCTTGTTCCAATTCCAAAACAAAAATGTGGGGTTTCATTTGAAAATTCTGACTAAACCTTGATGGTCATGGTCAAGGTTATGGTCATGATCAAGGTGAATGTCATGGTCAAGGTCACGGTCAAAGTTATGGTCATAGTCAAGCTCACCTTTGGGAACCGCACAAACCTCACAAGTGTGCCGTCGAACATCGGTAGGAGATGCTTCTTGCCATATCGCTAAAAGATGCGTATGATAATTAAAGCTGAGAGAGCATAAATATACCAATATCGAAAAATTGACATGACCTTGACTTTACACTTCTTGCTTGTTCCAATTCCAAAACAAAAATGTGGGGTTTCATTTGAAAATTCTGACTAAACCTTGATGGTCATGGTCAAGGTTATGGTCACGATCAAGGTGAATGTCATGGTCAAGGTCACGGTCAAAGTTATGGTCATAGTCAAGCTCACCTTTGGGAACCGCACAAACCTCACAAGTGTGCCGTCGAACATCGGTAGGAGATGCTTCTTGCCATATCGCTAAAAGATGCGTATGATAATTAAAGCTGAGAGAGCATAAATATACCAATATCGAAAAATTGACATGACCTTGACTTTACACTTCTTGCTTGTTCCAATTCCAAAACAAAAATGTGGGGTTTCATTTGAACATTTTGACTAAACCTTGATGGTCATGGTCAAGGTTATGGTCATGATCAAGGTGAATGTCATCGTCAAGGTCACGGTCAAAGTTATGGTCATAGTCAAGCTCACGTTTGGGAACCGCACAAACCTCGCAAGTGTGCCGTCGAACATCGGTAGGAGATGCTCTTTGTCATATCGCTAAAAGATGCGAATAATTACAAAGGCCAAAAGCGTATAAATATACCAATATCGAAATATTGACACGACCTTGACTTTGCATTTTTTGCTTGTTCCAATTCCGGGTTAAAAATGTGGGGTTTTATTTGAAAATTTTGACTAAGCCATGATGGTCAAAGTCATGGTCAAGGTCACGGTCAAAGTTATGGTCATAGTCAAGCTCACCTTTAGGAACAGCACAAATCTCACAACTGTGACGTCGAACATCGGTAGGAGATGCTCCTTGCCATATCACTAAAAGGTGCGTATAATTACAAAGGCTGAGAGTGTATAAACATACCGACATCGGAAAATTGACATGACCTTGACTTCACATTTCTTGCTTGTCCCAATTCCGGGATAAAAATGTGGAGTTTCACTTGAAAATTTTGACTAAACTTTGAAGGTCAAGGTTATGGTCATGATCAATGTCATTGTCATGGTCAAGGTCACGGTCATAGTCAAGCTCACCTTTGGGGCCCGCGCTACCTCGCAACTGTATCGTCGAACATCGTTAGGAGATAAAATTTGTGCAATAAAAATTGTGGCACTGCCACTGCAAAAGTACTGTATCGATAAAAACTGCAAGTGTGGCTCAAAGAATATAAAATGCAATCCAAATTCCATCGGTAATAGTTCTTGTAAGAATAAATAGCACTTAAAAACACATGTTCAAGAACAAAAGTGATTTTCAATACAAGTAATTAATTTAAGTACTGGTAATTAATAAACGTTTATATTTCTGTGAAATATTTTTTCGACTTTTCGAGATTTTAAAATTGTTATAAGAAACTAAACTTAAGTAAATTATAGGTAGTTCACAAATGACGAAAAATTTGTGTTCAATAATATATTACCCAATAAGTCAATTTTTGAATATATACATATAGTAATTCCAATAAATAGCAAATGTCCTTTTACTTAGTGACATGATTTCTTCATATTATATTTAATTAATGAAACATACGTCTCCGATTTGTATTTTTTAGCAGCAGACAGAACATTAAGTACATTGTTTGTATGGTACCTGGTACAAGATAAAAAAATTATTTCTAAAGATATGAACCAAAAAGTTTAAAAACTAGTGAAACCCATATCGCAAAGTCACTGTTTGTGCCTTACGCGTCAGGGACTTTATTGACAATGCGTGGCATGGTAGCTAGGGTAAGATATTCGCTGTGGTCTTTCTGTGATTGATTGTAACAATGCGTTATGAGCTGTTTTTTCGCTCAAAGAGCGTTTTCGGCGCTTCATATCTAATACAGATGTTTTTCAAAATAAATAATTATCTAAACAATGTAATTATCTCAGTTCCCTTTTGTATTGATCAGTTTAATATATTAAGTCCTCCTGAAACATGAATAAATATCTGAATATGATTTATAAGTCCTAACTTCCTTTTTATTATAACCAGGTGGATGATGCTGGTATCAAATGAAAATTCACAGCATTACCATGAAATTAACACAAAAACTCACTGTAGGCAAAAATTGACTCAATCTAGTTTGACTCTGAGGTACAGTTCAACAATTTAGCATGTGCAAGTACTACCTATGTCTAATTTTTGTTTCAGTCAAGGACAAAATAACGGCATCTTCAGCACCGCGGCGGCAGCAGCTGCAGCCCTTCTCCAGAACAGCAGCCATCAGTTTCTCCAAGCTTCAGACATGAAGGGTTGGAACAAAGACATGCCAAAGGCTCACGGAGCTGCTCGTCTCTTCAATTACATGGAAGCCAGCGATGGTGAGGCTTCCGACCCAGAAAGTGAGCCACAGCAACTGGAAGCCAGACCCAGCCTGACCCAGAAACTGCAGTCGGATTTTCTTGAGGCGGGAGATGTTGATAAGACAGACGAAGACATCGGGGAAGAAACAGAACTACCATTGTTTGTGTGCCCCATGTGCGGTTGTGAGTTCGAAGACGATGCTTCTCTAGAGACACACCAATACACACATAGCCGCGGCACAACATCTCCCGCAACTCAAGAGGAATCCAAGGAAAATGTAGATCCAGATTTCAAATATAAATGCAGAGTTTGCGATACACAGTTTTGCACTCAGCGAGCCATCATGTCACATATGAACCAGCACTCTAGTTTGCTTTCGAAACCGGTGATAACACCACAACCAGTGCAGAAGAAAAAACAAATCCGTCCAAAAAAGGATCTACCATTCTGGGACTTGGATGAAGTAGAAGTGCTGAAACACCTGAATGGAAAACTAAAGAAGTGGAAATGCTCGTTGGTGACAGCAAGTAGAGGCAACAGAAAACTGGTTAACAAATACATCGCCCAAATGGTATCTAGAAGGGGCTTTTCGTGTACCTGCTGTAAAAACAACGGTATTAACAAATATCACACAAGAACGTGTTTGGCGCTTCACCAGTATTTGAGGCAAACTAAGAAGAGGTTTAAATGTGAACATTGTGATTTATACTTCCGTCATAGATACCAGATTATACTCCATACAAGTCGGGTACACAAAAAGAATCACACCCAAGAAGAATCTTCCAATGAATCTCAGCGTCAGTCAGAAAACAATAACACTCAGTCAGCGTCGAATACAGAACCAGGAAGTTCTTTTGCGACAAATTCCCAGTCTATCTATGTACCTGAAGTTATTTCTAGCGCACACAAGTTGGTAGGAATGTCTTTCTTCGATCATCCATTTCCTCATTCTTCTAATGCTTCCAGTACTGTCAATAACCATATGCCTATCATCATACCTACCTTCCCTCCAAATTGAAGAGCTGTTATCAAATGTAAGCTTTGGCTCAAACAAACTGCAAGATGAGCTTATTTTCTCAGTTGAAAGTAGTAAGTGTTTAGACGTAAAACAAGCTATGTGAGTCAAATACTAAACAGCAACCAATAAAATTAAAAAAATCCGCGGTTATCTTATAAAGCGTTTTCCATTAAGGACTTGACAACTTTCTTTTTAAATAAACCATTTGAGATATCTCGAAAATTTTATTATTGGATTGAAGTATACTCAAAACATTTATGTATGGAATTCGACCTCGTTCATATGTCCACCACGGGCACGTTCGCAGCGATCGATTCGTTGAACACAATTTTCAATGGCTCGGCCACACATTTCGACAGAAACGGCCGCTATATCTCGTTCATTATATTGACTCTGAGCTCCTCTAATGACCCCGGCTTGTTGGCATAGACCAATTATTTAATGTAGCCCCACATAAAGAAGTCTAGACGTGTTAAATCACACGATCTAGGCGGCCATTCGACATGACCATTTCTCGATATAACACGTCCACCGAATTTTGATTTCAATATGTCGATTGTTTCACCCGCTGTGTGGCTTGTGGCACCGTCTTGGTGAAACCATATATCATTAATGTCTAACCCACCCAACTGACCAAAAAAATAACGTTGCAACATCTCTCTGTAGCGATCTCTGTTGACGGTCATTGTCATCAACAAAAAAAAAACGGCACAATGACACCAACGGCATGAAAACCACACCATACAGTTATGTTTTGTAGATGAAGTGGCATTTCTTGAAGCACATGAGGGTTTTCACCTGACCAATAATGCTTTAGTTCTTGAGTTGACTTGATCTTATAAGGGTGCAGGCCAAGATCTCTCCGCAAAATTCGCCATAGTGTGGTCTGAGCGATGCCCAATTCTTGAGAACGCCCTGGAATCGACGTGTTCTGTTCGTTTGAGACGGAAGCTTGAATGGCAGCAATATACTCGGCACTTCAACCAACCCGTTGTCTCACTGTCACAGAAACATCCAACAGCGAGTATGTGTACTAACATTTGTTTTACTAGACTATGAATTGCTTGTCTACGGGGACGAGAATTACGACCAAAAATTAGCGTTAACGCTCTTACAGTTGCAGTCGCCGACTCCGAATTTCGGTAGTAAATTTTAATTATTGTAAGCGTTGTTCGTTCGTGTACTTCGCTATGATGAAAAGGTTTTCTTTACTGAATGTTTTGACATTGACACTTCGGTAATTGATTTAAAGGTGCGTTCACAGTAAAAGTTCAAAGTCGTCAAGTCCCTATTGGAAAACCGGATATAATTATCAGTGCTCTATTTGCCTGAGTTGGTACAATATTCACACCAAATTCAAATGATATACGTTAGACACAAGTTCCTCAAAGTCCACATATGAATAGTCACTTTTTGTTTGCTTAAAACAATATACAGGATGTGTCACAATAAAATATGGACTACATAAAAAAATATGCAACAAGATTCAATAAAAAATGTCATACGTGGCTTTCCTACGGAGATACATCGTCCTAAAGGATGCCACTAGAAATCTGAATGTCGTTTTGCAACTGCAAGAGCTTGCATGCAGTTATCTTGCCATGTTTTCTCGATTCAAACGCCAACCTAAATGAATGGAACTTTCCCTGTCACATTAATAACCTATAGTTTAGATTTTTCCTTTTTACCCTTCAGAACACACAGTTTTAATATCCAAAAACTAGTTTCAATCGGCGAAGATTCAACATCAAAACTTAAGCAAACATACAGGCTGTCCCAACGAAAATGTAACGTAGTTATATGAGCAAACTGGAAAAAATATCAAAAATCTGTTTTCGTGACAATCTCGGCATGTTACTAATAGTTCATATTTTGAAATTATTTTAATATATACAGGATGTTTCGTAGCTTCGTGCCATACCAAATATTTTTTTTAAATAGAACACCCTATAATTTATTGCATATTTGAATAAGGCTTCTAAAAATAAGAAGTTTGATATGATATATGGTTCCAATTGTCGATTGCTTAGATCTGAAAAAATCTGAAAAAATGCTCAGCTTTGACGGCTAGCAGCTCCGCCATTTTTGAAGATATTTAGATAAATCTTAGTTCACAAAAATATTATTATCATCGATTTTAAGCTGATATCAAAAAAGTGCTGATTTTTTTTGATTTATACAGGATATCTCAAAATGAAAAATGTACCTTTTCTCGAAAATTCCAGGTATAACATATATTTGTACATCTTTAAATAGTTTTCTTGGTGAACTTTTTTTACATCTTTTTTCAAAACGTTTTTGAGTTATAGCTATTAATTTGAAGAAAAACCAAATACATCTTGTATTTAAACATAAAATCAAATCTTCTATCAAAACAGTAGCATTCATTAACACAATAAAAATAACCTCAGCACTGAGCATACAAGGCCAGACAGGCCTGTTGATATTATTTTCCACGACTAAAAGAGTTTGTCTAGCTTTCCACTTAAGCGACTCGCTTGTACGATGTTTCATGTCTTCGGGTGTTGTAGGTTTCTCCTGGTAAACCTCTCCATACATGGCCCCGGAGAAAGAAATCGAGAGGCGTCAGATCGGGAGATCTCGCTGGCCAATTGATCAGTCCGCCTCTGCCTATCCAACTATCTAGTCTAGATACTCCTGTACCGCTCGATGGTAATGTTGTACCACAAATTTCTCCTAGTTGTTAGATTTACATTCTCTAGTACAGATCGTTCCTTAAAAACACATTGTACATTTCACCTCATTTGAAATAGTGTGGTCCAATAATTTGATCACCAATGATGAAATCAATAGTATGAAATCACAGAATCTGTTTCAGATCTTTCATTACTTAAGTGATAAAGTGAACGGTACAGTATGGTTCAAAACACATTTAAGAAAAACTGTTTCCAGTGATGCCCTTAAAGGCCTGTATCTCGGTAGGTGATATTTTAAACTTGTGGCATTATTTTTGTGTCCAAGTTAGGATATCCAGTTTTAAACTAAGTGCCATTTTGTAATTTTTACTGCTCAGGTTTAACGTATATCATTCCGAACGTGTTTGATACTAAAATATGGATATCTAGTCAATATGTCCATCGTTATGAGATGTGTATACTTTTGATAGAAAAACGACATATATGCTTAGGTAGTTACTTGTGAAATAATGTTATATTTTGCTACTCGTAGCCTGTACTGTTTCGTTTTGTTTTATTTTATGGTTATATGCTTTCCAGAAAGGCCCCCACCTATTTATTTTTTGAACACGACAAGGTAGCAAGTTGAAATTTGGGGTAACAAAAATGACCCGTGAATACTTTATTTTAGCTAACTTGAATCGTTCAAACGTTAGGGAAAACCTTTCTGAGAAGCACTGTATATCCCAGGTGTTTTCATTTTGTTGTCGTTGTCATTATAATCCACATTATTTGTTGTCATTTTCGTGTTTATGGGGAATAGTGTTTTTAATTTTATATATTATTTACTGTATTTGAATAAAAATCTAAATGTGATAGACTGGGAGTTCATTAATTTTACACCCCCAATTTCTCGTTATTTGTTTTCAAGAGATATGGATTTAAGTCTACAAGACTTCCCATGACTTCTAACAGAGAGACGGTTCTGTTTTTACAATCTTGAACAACCAGGTAGTACCAGATGGTTTGAAATGTTTCTGGGCCCGCATAGTAGGATAGTATCTATTTGCAACCACCAGTTTTAATTACATTATTGATCTCGAGAGGTGACCACAATCACATTTTTTTTAATCAAAGAAGACCAGATTTTGTTATTTTAAAATAAAATGTTTATTTTTTTCCCGACTGCCTCGGAAGTAGGATTTAAGTTCGTTGTAAGATATTGAAATTTTATAAAAACAAAATGATGGATTTTAATAAAAAAGATTAACCTTGAAGTTCCCAATTCTCAAAGCTTGGTGGATTTTAGCATATGAGATGTTGCTGGATTCATCTTAGCAGTGCGAGTAACACTGGGTATATTAAAATTTTATAAAGATAAAACGGCAAATTTTATTTAAAAAAATCAACCTTGAAATTCACATTTTACCAGCACACCTTACACCGCCTGATCGATTTTGACATTATGATGTATCTTTAAATTCCTAATAGAACAATTAGATTTTGATTGTTGTTGATTCTATTTTTTAAAACGTACTTGAGTCCCCTATTTCCAAAAGCGGCTAAATCCAAAATTGACGGTATTAAGAAAAATACGAAAAACTGTAATTCTTACTATTTGTTGTTTCAGGCTTGACTATTATGTCAGGTTTTTTTATCTTTTTTTCTATCAAGGCGAAAACTCGATCTGGAGGTAAAAAAGAATGGCCAGTGACCGGAAATATCAATTGCAGTTTTTCGATATGGCTCGGAGCTTCTAACATCCATTTAGCGCACATAGACAGAACAATACTATTTTTGTTGTGCCCAGTGCAGCCATCTGATACCAGTCTAATCTCTTTCACATTCTCAGGATCGTGATTTTGTTTAAAGAGTCATAAACCGCTGAGGCGATTTCATTCGATCCCTTAAGACATTCTGTTTCAAGCCATGTATGGATATAACCATTTTCTTTTAAAAGTTTTGCTTTTGATGATCCTATGACAACAGTAAAGTTGTAAAGATACAGTTGCCTTTTGTAATATGTTATTTGATCAGGAATTTTCGGTAATACTAAGTTTTTTTGGCAGTCAAATGTCAGAATCAATAGATCATCACTTTGGCCTCTGAGTTTATCATAAAATGCCTTTGCACTTAGCTTATGTATGCATTGTTTCACTATTAAATCGTTTTTTACCTGCAAATCTTTCTCTCTCTTGATTATTTCTCTGTATTCAAGGCATTGCGAGCAGACATCTACTTGTGGCGCATTGAATCCTATATAATATACACGTCAACAGGATCTAGCCGGTCTTGTTCATAAACAAGACCATAATAGTTGGTGTAGCAGTGGATGTAGCCGGTTTTGGTAAAACCAAGGATATAGCCACTTTTGTAATAAAACACGCATCAGCTTTAGCCGGATTTGAAAATAAGACTGAAATAGTGTGCTGATTTATATAGATTTTGCCGCATTTTGGAAACGAGTATGTATTACAGTATATTACTAGAACCTTTGACTATGAGATGGCAGCACCCACACCATTTTTCGTAAATATGGATTTAGCCGCTTTTAGAAATAGGGGACTCACTTGTTAAATTACTTTTATTATTTCAGGTTTTAATCACATTGAGGCCTATTTTGCCTGGACTGGACAACTAAATGAAGAACCTGACTCGAAGCCTAGATCCGTACTTGACAGCGAATGCCTTATTTTTCTAAATCAAACCATAAAATAAATTATTGTAGCTAATGATAAGACAGTAAACTGTAAAGCATTTCTACTGATTTGACTTTTGTAAAGAAGCTAGCAGCATCAGCGGGTACTACTTGTTGCGGCATCTCTAACCGAAAGCCTTGATCACATTCCGTATGAGAACAGAATACTATAATGTCAATATGGCTGTTTTTGTATCGCCCAGGAGATGTCAGCACCAACGAGGCACTACCAGTGTAGTACTATTATTGATCCTGCGGATGGGCTGTGTACAACGTATGTCCCATTTATCGGATTTTTTTAATGAAGAAATGTATTTAAACACTACCTAGTTATCATAAATCACAACTCAATACTTAACTAAACTATACTATCGACTTATGTGGAGTGGCTCTACTAGACGCAACTTTCTTGGCATGTCTCTCATGCGGTCCTGGACCGAATTTAGATCAATTTCACTCAGTTTTTCGTAAATTCGGCGTCTTAATTGTTCTCCCCAGCCTCCATGTGGATGTGCAAGATAAACGAGACCATATAAATTTAAGACGATATGGGATACAGTTTCAGGTACGGTAGTAGTCACTTGAACTGTATTCAGAGCATTTTACTGTTTAGTGTACATGTATTACAAAAAAGGGTTAGAAATGGACCGAGCAGAAATTTAAGCTTAATCATGCTTATGATAAGTATTTTGGGTCGCAGAAGCTGAATCTGGAGCTCATCTAGTCGAACATTGCCTTGCTTCCCATATATCTGCAAGAATTATAATTATTATAAAACGTATGATCGAAAAAAATTGGAAAATCGATCTGCATCTCATCAATTTTTACGCCAAATCATATATTTTTCATCTCGAGAATTTTAGAACTGATAAAGGCACGGTTGAACATATCCAGAGGCAACCGAGATATCTGAGAGTAGAAAAAAAATGTTTACTCTGATTTTCATGACGTCCCCTCTAGTCATTTTTTTATTGCAGCCCCTGTTGCGCCGCCTCTGATGGTGCTCTGTGGTCCGGCTGGGCATATTTTCCATTTACTATCCACCCGCACAGTACAACAGGCGATAGCGCACACCGCGAACTACAACAAACCTGTTATTACCTTACAGAGGCGTAGCCAAAACTGTTTATGTTGGGTGTTCAGCAAAAGAATCTAACTCATACTATCTGTTTAAAGGTAAGCATGGCTTCAGGCACCAGCAACCAACGGGGGACCTTCTTGCTTATGTCACGCATCTGTGGAGTAAACTCATCCAGTCCTATGGTCAGGTTCATGCCGTTGCTTTTGATATCACGATCCTTTGCATACTTCCATTATATGGCCTCCCAGAGAAGCTTTGCTGACTTTCTCTCTGGCCGCAAGTTATCCGTCGTAATTGACGGGTTCTCCTCTTCATCCCACAACGTCAACGCGGGTGTTCCGCAGGGATTGGTCCTCGCTCCAGCATTCCAATCCAATCCCACAGGTTTGCCGATGATAGCACTCTACATGCAGGAATTCAGAGTGTCAATCCGATCTCTGCCAGTGAACTTGAGAGAAGACTTTCTCTCTGACGAGTGATCTAGAGGTTATCACTGCTGAGGGACACAACAAATGGTACATTTTAATGATTACAAAACTCAGTACTGTACTTTGACTAAGAAGAAGCGCCCTAGCCCTCATCCGGGTTCGATGGATGTCCATAACAGCTAAAAATCGGCTAGGCTATTTGTTTGGGGCTTAGAAATACTTTTTTCTCAGTCTATACAAGGCACAGTACTACTCACATTCTTGGGATGCTGTCGCTCCAATTACTTTATCCATGCCCGATGCTGTTCACAGCATGGCTGACCGACTGATCAATAACTTTTATAACGGACAGTGTCGACACCCTTTCACACCGATCTGGCTTTCTTCTGCCGCTATGTAAATGGGCTTTGCTCCTCAGATCTCTCCTTCAGATGAAACAGACCCACCCGACTTTTGGCCTTCCATCCCAACCGTGTCGAACTTCGTACATTTAGAACTGGACCGATCCTTTGATCCTGTGGCATCTAGATTGTGGAGCAATCTACCCGATGATGTTCTACTATCCTTAGGCAGTTCAAAGATCGTATTGATAAAGTGACAAGCTCCTCATAGTTCCCGCGGCTATAGACTAGAGCTCAATCATCTTCTATAAACTACTGCGTTTGCACTACTGATGAGCCATTACAGAAATATTGAATCATATCTCCAGAGGTGGAAAATAACTTCTTTCAACCCTAAAGAAACATTTTCATTTAACACTGTGTCAAGCACCCGCAGTGTCCTTGTATTCAGGACTCTGCCTACGCGGCTGCTACGGCAAAAGTTCACAGGTTAGAAAAAATTTGAATTTCAAAGCAACAATTCTTTTTTGATGTTAAACTAAATCGTGTTATCTTCCGCGTAGACCTACAAATATGATTACCTACATAGGTGACAACTTACAGGTATCCGTCGTTCCAATTTTCAAGATGATGGAAGCAGCTGATTTTTTAAGCCGACAAAATATAATTAAATCAGATAAAAATAAGCATTCAGGCAACATTCTGAGGTTGGCGTTAAATGAACCATTTTTTAACACGCTTCTATTACCTTGACCTGTATGTATGTATGTATGTATATACGTATGTATGTATTTATGTATGTATGTAAAGGAATCTTTGAGCATAATTTTCACCAATATCCAGAAGTTTGATTGATTTGAAACTTCGCACACGCATCAAGGACCGATGAGAATGCAATAATTTGATAAGAGAGATAGAGCTAGCGCGTGATCTGCGCAGGCGTGCAGTTTCGGACTTACTCTTTGTTGGTTGGTAATTTTTGATTACAAAGATTGTAGATGGTCGAACAATCAATCATAGTTAATGACCTCAAAATAAAATTATAATAAAATTTAACTATACTAAGTGACATATAAATCCGAACACCCAGTTTAAATGGTTTTATTTTAATAAAAATTGGTGAATGTATTTATCTTACTGTAAATAACAAGTGAAAAAATTTTCAGCCTTATCAGTTGGACATTCCGTTTTTTATACTGCTTTTTTTTAATTCACTAACGCTCTAAAAATGAATATTTCAGCCGCAGTAAAGAATCAACGTTGGCGGATTTTGGTTCTTGACATCCTTTACGATCGGTTACGATGCCTAGAGTACGGAGACCTGTACGATTTCGTCAACTTAGTGAGTTTGATAGGGGCCGTATAGTGGGACTTCGGGAAGCTGGACTTTCTTTTCGGGCAATTGCAGTTAGAGTGCAAAGAAGTGTAGACACTGTGGTTAGGTGTTGTCAGGCATGGCTTCGAGAAGGCCGTACGCAAAGAGCAAGGGGCACTGGACGCCGCCGTAGAACAACAGACCGTGAAGATCGCAGCCTAAGATTATTGGCCTTAAGGGACCGTTTCTCCACTACCATG